AACAACGCGCTGAAATAGTGACAGTTTACATCGAAAACAGTCGTTCCATTCTGTTAACTCAACGTGCATATTGGAAAAATATCGCGGCAAAAAGGCAACATCTAACAGATCACTTGGTTAACCCCCCTCCGGAAGTCTTTTTGTGGTGTTACCTGAAATGCAAGGTTTACGCCAACCAACCTCAAACTATTGATGAGTTAAAGGCAAATATTTGTGCTATAACCCTTGAAATCTAATGGCAAACGCCTTGCTAATAAAGGGAGACACTTCATGCATATTGTTTTCAAAAACTAGTCCAGAAAAATTGTAAGGAACCAAGCGGAATAAAAATTCTCAAAGTTATTCAATGTTTACATACCGGCATAAAAGATGGAGCCCCGTGTACGTATTTATAGATTTGAGATATTTATATATGGCGCTTTGTAATCCACTGAAATGGATTTTGACGATTCTAGTTTGATTTTTTAAAATCTCTTATTTCTTACTAATTACACTGTATAAGCATTCAGCAACTATTTTCAAATAAAATAAAAGCGCTCTAGCATTTCTCTATTTCTTCTATTATATTTTCTCTATTTAGTTTTAATCTTACTGGTCGTAAGTAATCGAGGTAGCAATTGATTCTCATAATATGGGGTCCATTTCCAAATATACATAATTTCAATTTTTATATACAGTGAAGAAAACTAGGAGAAAAGTAAATGGCAAGACTGAGATGGTAATAAATAGATGCTCCAATGTGGCATTCTTCAATAAAGAGTTATAGAGTATATGGTATGGTGGTCTTGAGCACCAATTTAGCGGTTCTTTTCTACTGCGAAGAAAGATTGCTGTAAAGAAAAGGACTGATACTGGTGTTCTAGCCATAGAGGTAGAGACTCCTTTCCATGTGTTTCAATATAACTGGCAATAAGCTAAAAAAAGAAGTCTAACGCAATAATTTTTGATCTGCAGATTGCTAGACTATCACAATAATTTATTTAGTTAGCTTTCCAAGACTACAGTAGAGTTGGCTCTGATCATGCAGTTAGAGTTACTAGCCTTCCTTTTTCATAATTGGGAAACGTTTACAAGCCTAATCTCGGATGTGGTAGCCATTTCGACATATACGGTTTAATAGTATATTAGATATATATTTTTACGGCAAGTGCTTCGATTACGAGCACGCGCCGCTCTCTAAGGAAGCAAATATCTACGTAGAAATAGTTCCAAGTCTTACGACAGCTTTATGCTGTCAACCTTCAAACAACTCCTGCTCTGGCAGCTGACATAGTTAGTGCAGTGCTTCTGTTGGAGTCTACCACCGCCTACAGAACCGCCAGCAGCCAACACCAAGGTACCGCACCCAATCCAGCGGATTTTACAGCTGCAAAACACCAGACCCACTCATCACTTCCTCACTCCTCGCATTTAATCAAAGCTAGGAGATAAGAATGCTTTGTGAGTATCTTAAACGAAACTAAGGATAAATTCTTGTGTTCATCGCACACAGTTGAGGCTAATCGACTTCACGCCTGAATTCTCACTATCTTCAGCACTGTCTTTCGGCACAAGAAAATTTATCAAACTACATGGCTAAAACTCAATGGGAAATCATGCAACCAAATCGATCTTGTTTCAAAATAGAGGACTGTGTTCCAGTTGAGTACTTATTTCGTCGACCTCACATCGATTTGGGTATCTATCTTGACGCACAGCCCTCGGTGCAGGATGGTTCAAGTGGTTCAACGTTGATGACGCGCAATAAAATCTGACAGCCAGCCGGTCTCCACTTGACTTGCACTTTTAATTAATTTTACACGAGTCCACAATCACAAGATTTGTAGCTAAAGCGATTTTTGGCCCAGTTCCACCCTCAATTTGTGGTTTTGCGTCTTGAGGAGCTTTTATTTCATGTCATAACTAAACTTGGAGGGGCTACCGCAATTAGAAAATTTAACTTAGTATTTTATTTTAAAATAATTTTCTAAAACTTCATGCTGTCGGTCGTATCAGGACTCAAACCCTGGCATCTTACATCGTTTTGAAATTTTAGTTTGGCTACAATCGAAATTCGATAACAAAAATCTGAAGGCAAGTAAAGACGTATTCTCGTATGTACAAGCAATCATACTTATAGTTCCAGTGTATATACAAGTATATATATATTTGAATATATTTGTGCTTGAATTGATGTTATATAAAATTTCTTATAAAGACAAATTTCTGTAAGCAAATTAAATGGGCATAAAACTGAAAAAGTTCATATTAACTCCATACTCAACTTGCACACATTTGTGCTCAATGAACATGAATGTCAACATCAACTTCAACATCATCTACAAAAACAACTACAACTAAAACAACAATAACGAACATTTACTTAAAAGTATTCCAAGTACCCACTTACAGAAAGCCCCATAGAGCACTCATACGCACTGTACAACCGTAAGAACTTGATAAACATATATTCGTGTGTACGAGTATGCGTTGCCGCCGCCTATAAGCACACGATGACAGCTGCAATATCTGCACATTTTGTAGTTAATATTTTCGCATTGTTTGCATCATTTATTGCAGTTCAGTTGAGATGAATGAATGGAAAAATGGTCAACATCATGAGAAAGCAGCCATAATGTTGGTGTTGGTGTTGTTGTTGGTCTGCCAGCATACAAAAGCGAACATTAATAAAGAACGCTTAAATGAGTAATATATGAATATATGTCCATAAGTATATGTATATAAAAATATGCGTATGCACTTGAATGGGCGTAAGCACGCCTGCAAACAGCAAATGCTTGTAAGTGTGTAAGCAAGTGGACAAGGCGTGTGTAAGTATGTGTGCAGGAAGTTAAGGGCTATGAAATTTAATATTATTTAATACATTCCTTTGCAAATGACAAAGAAAACACATAAGCCGTTGCCACATAAAAGAGCAAGGATGTAAGTGGGGGGGCATATCTGTCATGGTTCTGGTAAAATTATTTTTGAAAATGGCATTTATATTCATATCCTTATGTGCACTGGCGAGCATAACAGAGGAAGTCATTTTTAGTTATTAGTTATTTTATATTAGAAAAATGTTTTCCATCAATCAATTACGACGAATCTCGTCGTTTTTTAGGTTATGACAGATTTTTGAATTTTTTTTTTTTCACTTTATTACGCTAACAATAAACTTGAAAAAATTAATGAAATATGTCAAATGTCTTAATTGGCTTTCAAAAAATTTCTAAAACATATTTTTTTAAAATATATTTTTCCGGCAAATTTTCCAAACCAAAACCCCCATCAGAATATGACATTCAGATAGTTCAACGAATAAAAAAAATTGGCTATGCGGGCCAAGTTATGTAGTCCTTATGAATGGAACGCTTTCAACGCGATTTTCGGCCGAACTTCTCCTTTTAATTTTTGTATGAGAATTAAAGATTTCCATCAAAATCGGAGGATTTACAATTCTGGACCGCTTCCGAATGGCCGATGGGCTTGCATAGGGGGTTTTTATTTCATTGCAGACATACACTCTAAGGGTTGACTTTCTCTCTCATATAATATAAAATATATAATTTATACAAAAGAACTATCAAATACTTAATTTTTCTCGCTAGTGTTGATACAGAGCTACTTTCACACACACGTATTCGTTTGCTCTGCAAACGTTTCCCTACAGGGAAAAATACTATTTCATATTTTTACGCCAATTATTTCTTATAATTAATTATAACTTGCATCTGTCTTCCATGTCCTACGAAATGTCAATTTTCGGTCTACTTATGATCTTCGTTCTAGTTAAATACCAATGCATAATTGTTAAATTACCAGATTAATTCCTACCAGTTGAGAGTTACTTTGTCTCAAGCCAGTCTGTAGCGGACTAGTCAAAAATCGGTTCGGTTGATTCCGGCATTCCAAACGGCTGAACAGGATTTAAGCGATTTTTTTAGAGCGATCAGGTAGGTTTTGGAATGATTTTGAAAAAGTCTTTGCATGAGAAGTTGACTGGGGTCCAATTTATTTAAAAAAAAAACAGAAAATAATAATTAATTTTACCCGAAAGAGAGTGCAACAGATATCGAGCTATGTACTTGAAGTAGCCATCATTGTTCGTCACTTTAAATGCTAGTGATATTCTAGTCCACAAGAAACTAGTAAGATTTCGTCTTCAAAATACTAGTATTTAAATAGAATTTTTGCATACTAGGCCAACTTTTCCCTGCAGGGCGCTTGTTTCGCTTGGTCTTTGCTGTTCTCGTTTGTCTTTCATATGAGTTCGCTCGCTTTCTTCTACGCTCTTTTGTTAATTTCGTCTTACATATGTTTTGTTGTTGTTGTTGCTATTATTGCTGCTGTGCACTCAAGTCACATGAGCAGTAATTCATTTGCCATTCCAATGCGCAATCCATGCTCGTACACTTAAGTACATATGTATATGTACATATTAATATACTCATATGTGAATGGCTTTCTCGCATATTACTCTTGTTGTTGTTGTAATTCGGTGCAGACTGTGTATAACTGACCTTTTCATTATCATATTTTTACCATTAAAATGTCCAAATGAGATGAAATGCTAAAGGATTGCACACACACACGCACACACGCACACATACACGAGCATACCAGCTCCTGAGTCATTGCGTTGACATAGGAAAACATATGTTTGTTAAAGCACACGCACACAATTACCTTGTTCTATACAATTGTATATATAAGTGTGTGCAAATTTAAAATATGCAACCATTAAATTAAATTGCTCGCCACACGCTCACACAAACACAGTACTATAGAATATACAGACACACACACACACACACACTAAAATTCATTTATACCAACATTCACATGCAAATGATGGCAATTTGAGAAAGAGTCGGTCAATTGCTTCAAAAAATGGCCACCATTTATGCATAGTAATCAGTTGTGCAAGTATTTGTTGGGGATTATATGGCTGCAGTGTGGAATGAGCGTTATTAGATAAGAGCAAAACATTAAACGTATAAATTGCTTGCTTTACTTACCTTAGCAATTCGATATGACTTTTGTGGGTTTTTTTTTAGTATTTTCCAACTCTTTTTGCGAAATCAAAATCTTTTTGCTTTTTTTGTTTTTCAATGCTTTTCAATTTTTCGCCTTCAATATGTGGGTGTGTACTGCAGATGGAAAAAAGGAAGTAAAGTTAAAGAAAAAATTATTGTAATTCACTAGAAGCATATGAAAGTATTATTAATTATTTATGAGCCATAATTTATTCACTTTATTATGCATATATATTTTATGTATATGAATGCGAATAAAAGTAGAATGGCATACGATAAAAGTTTATAAAATTTGAATTTAGTTTCTATTGAAATATTTTAGGGTGCGGCAATAGCAAGGAGCTGACCTGTAATAACTGAAAATTAACCATTATAGGAACGTTTATCTTATTTTCCCCTTAAGTAAATTAAATTTTATAAAAATGAGGGCAACAACTTATGGTTAAAATTTAACTATTTATTTAATTTTTTTTTTTATTTGAGAATTTAGTATTTTTTATGTTCCTGTATCTACAATGCAAACCTCACAATTTCGGTTTAAAGTTGTGTTGTACATACTAAAGGTTAATAATTAAGAATTTTAAAGCTTATATATACAACATTTATATATAATGGATTTTTTCTCTCTAATTTAACGCTTGTTTATAAAAACTTAATATTTTAAATATGGTTTTCTTATACAAAAGTTTCTTACAAAATAAAAATTAATTTAGGTTGAAGTATTTGCTGGGCAAACGCCTTTTTAAGCGCCCAAAGCAAAACAATATTCTGATACCATAATCAATGAACATTTCACTATTTTTTAGCCAAATAAAAGAAAAATTTTCAAACGTATAATTTTTATCTCCAAAAAAATAAGGACATTTCCCGTCAAGTGCACCACTTACTTTCTGTTGTAAAAATTATGAATTTGTATATAAAAATTTAATATTATTCCTTTAAATATGGTTCTTCAAAAGTCTCCCTCACATTCTGAGAAAAACGCTACGCTCTTTCGTAAGCAGAAAATTTTCCACTGCAACTCCCAGTTGGCTAATAAACAACTTTGAACTTGGCTAGCCAACTTTTGGAGCTCCTGCGTGCAATGCAAAATAAACCACAAACAAAATATAACAAAATAACTGTATAAATGACTAAAGACTGCAATGAGGTCAAGTTCAAGATAAACTCGTTGCTATTTTCGGTTGAAGCTTATTAAAATTGCGCGAACAATGAGGGAAACTCTTTAAATGTATTTTTGTTTTACGAATAAAGGAAAAGGAATAACCCAGTTTAGAGTCAAAAATTAATTTTATTTTAAATAACACCTGCGAGTTCTGTCTGAAACCTCTGTTCACTTTTATGTCTATATGAGAAATTTTTGAAAACTAACTAAATATTTCAGTTCAATGACTGAGTTACGATGTAAATCTCAAGCAGTTTGGATTACTCTTCTCAAAAATAAATAGTTTAGCTATAATATAAATGCGGCCGCGGTAGTCGAGTGGTTAGCATTGTGTACTGTAATTCAGAAGGCTCGTGTTCAAATACTCATGCCCCCCCGTACTCGTGCCCGCAACATCTAAGAGTTATGGAATATTATTTTGAAAAAAAAAAAATAAAACAAATAAAGTTAAATTTTCTAATTGCGGTCGCCCCTCGGCAGGGAATGTCCATTCTCAGAGTGTATTTCGGACTTGAAATAAAGGTTTCTTGTAAAAAAAACCATCAGCCGTTCGGAGGCAGCTTACCATATTACGAGTCTTCTACCAGATTGTCAAAATGAAAAACTGAAAATGTGATAAGAATAAATTGAAAATTTTACTTCTTCTTCTTCTTTACTTTCTTCTTCTTCTTTCCGCTGTTTGGAGGCAATTTAAGATTCCTATGATAATTCAACCAAGTCCTTTTCAACTTGCTCTTTCCCACGAAGTGGAGGTATTCTAATTCCTCTGCTTAAATCGGCGGATACTGCATCGAAAACTTTCAAAGCTGTAGTATTCGTATTCATACTCATCACATGACCTATCCAACTTGTAGAAAAAAGAGCTCACGCCACGGTTGTTGGGGAAAATAATGTCCATACCACCGGCGTACGCCAACAGCTCTACAGCCTTACGCTGTCTGAAATCGCGTTTGGTATCGAACGGGTAGGAGAGGTCCTTCCCAGACATAACGGCGAAAAAATTAAAATTAGAACATTTCATTATCTTCAAGCTGGATACATTTCCACGCAGCCGATGTTTCCGCTGTCCCTTTGAATATTTTCGTATCACGAACCAAATCGTCGAAATCCGACTTAGTTATAAAATGAATTTATTTGATGACATTTTTTACTTAATATGTTTTCCGATCTAGCTGTTGGAGATTGTTCTGAATGTGTCTGTGCCTTTATTAAACCCAGAACTTTTTGAATGCGATAAACAGAAGTTACTGTTCACCATATTGGATGCACTATTGTGAACTCATTGAATGTATAACAAATTAATCTTGGGATATATTTTGATCATAAATTTATTTACTCCGTACTTGTGGGAATACAACACGTTTCCACTCCATTTTCCGGAGAGAAGAGTACTTTTTCTGCTCACTTAAGCAAAAAACCACCTATGTACCGAATATCATGTAAGCTGAACCATAAATAAGATTTTTCCAAATAGGTCAGTTCCCGAACCACTTCCCGTAATTCTTACAAACCTTCTCGAGAATCATAGAATCTATCTGACGAAATTTCAAGTCAATCAGTCGGTAACTTTTGAAGATTACTGGATTTTTTCAAGCGGACATAAAAGACTTGATCTCTCAAAACGGCCATACAAGAGTATAATTTTGGCCCTTATTTCCAAAAATCTTTTTTTTTTTATGGTTCGGAAATCGTTTCGAACGGTGTTATATATGGCTCTGGAGGTATGCTCCAAAACAAATGATGTGGGTATAGTTATGACGTCGAAGCCAAGGCCAATTATTCCAACGGAGCAAAGACCGAAAAATCAAAAATCGACACGATTAACCTTTTCAGTTCTTAAGAACAAATTACTAATACAAACATGAAAAAAGTTTTCGAAATCGAATGGTCATAGCCAGCGAAAAGTCAACATTACCCATCAACTAGAGAGGAGGCTTCGGGCTATTATTTTTTGAAAAGGTCTTTTCCGGCGGTTTCTCAGCCTATTATGATAGTATTTTAATTTTTGTTTAAAACACAATGTTTTGCGCTCTTCAAAGATGAAAATAAGTCTAAACACATTATATTGTTTAAATTTGCTTTTCAATTAAACTTTCTAAACGTCTGAGGGATATTCGCTTTTAAAATTTGCCCTAAATCAAATTACGCTCATTGTAAGAGAAATTAAATGTGCCATTTTCGTAGCAAACTTCCTATCAACGCCTACAAAACATAAAGTATTCTACAAGTCTTGTTTATATTTATTAACTGTTTGGAAAAATAAAAAAATCACAATACACACCCACACACAGAAACAGTTTTGAGTCCTATCCTTGATGAGGATATTATTTTTTAATTATCACAGCTAATTTGTTGGCAACAACCAGCCCCCTCCGCATGTACTTCAGCAGCCGCGAAACGTTTTTCTCAAAGCGATTTGATTTCCTGCTATCCTGTTGCACGTCGCTACGCCAACACACCCACATACAAACAGAACAGATTAAAAATAAGAGAAAACTGTCACAAAGACACGCGAAATATTTCAACGACCTCACTAATTCTCTTCCGAAAGAACTTCGATTTTCCCCGCGTAAATGCTCGTCTTTTGTTTTCATTTGAACATCCTGAAGTTGATGAAGGAAATTAAAATGTGCTAAGTTTAAAGGGGAAGGAAGGAATAAGAAGTTAAAAATGTCATTAATTTCGTTTTGGCCGCCCACTGTGTTTCTTGTTTATTGTTTATTGTTTTGGAAAGTCAACGTATATGTATGTATATATGTGTGTGTGATTGTGAAATTGAGCACCGTGTCTTCTTATATTGCTAGTTCTGTTTGTTCTCTGTTCCCCTTTCATTTGTTTCGTGGTTGTTTTTTGTTATTTTCCACATTAATCCACATATTTAACTCTGCCACAAGAGTATTTTAATCTGCTGCCAAGCTTCCGGTGTCATGCTGCTTGCTGCTACTCACATACTACGAATTCATTAGTCTTATATCAAAAATTTCTTCACAGCTGAGAAACTCCAATGCCTGCACATAACTTTGTATTTCACACTTACAAACATATATATGTACGTGTATATATGAGTTCTATTTTCCGTGTATACGTGGTTACTTAGCAATTTCTTTTTTACGGCTTTAAACCGTCACGTTGCACTCACAAACATTTTTACATACCGTAAATATATATGTACTATATGTATGTACTATAAGTCCCTTCATCAACATCACAGTTTTCTTCTCGTTCAAGTTTTTGATGTTGCTGAGGAAAAAAGTGATTTTTAATTAAAATTTTAATAAATACGTTATAAAAGTTAGGAAAGGATTTCTTCCTGGTTGTGTTGTGTCTCCATTTCAGGCTGCCTTTCTTCATGCTTTTGATGTCGATTTTGCTTTATTATGATGCCCTTACAAAACCTTCAACCATTCTTTCTTGGGTTGCTAAGCGTGCTGCCAAAATTTTACAGTTTTCATTTTAATAAACTCGGTTGCAATATTTTTTTTATATTGTAGATGTACCGTAAAATTCTATGTTTCTGATGGAAGTTTTGTATAAATTTTCTAAGTATTAAATATTTGAATATTGTAAAGAACTCTAGAGAGATATATAGATATTTGATGGCATTTAAATCGAAATAACTGGAAAGAAATTTTAGTTGGATCAACCCTACTCCGAGTCGTCGCCGCGTCAGTAGTGTCGAAAGAGCTGGACTATACCTATACCAGCTCCAGTATGTTCTTCGACAATCTTCTCTCTCGACTCTCACGACAGCCGGTTCTACGCACCGGAGTTGACCCGGATTTTATCCGGCCAAGGGCTGTCACCCTTTCGGAGACCTAACCCCGTTTAGGTCTACAGGTAACCTTAGTCTAAGTACGTCAACGGAGCAACACCTCGCAGCTGGGTTGCTCCAAATCCTTCTGATCAGGGCTGGTGTAGAAACCAACCCTGNTTCCTGGGCCTACCTTTA